CGGGCACCGCGGCCAGGCCGCAGCCGTAGGGGTAGGAGCGCGGCGCTCCCGCGCAGGGCCAGCACAGCAGCTCCTGTCCATCAGGAGCGGACGTGGGACGCTTTCCTTGGCAGGAGACACCAGACACAACGAGTTGCAAAATTCAAAGTGGGAAGGGGGCAGTAGGAAGGTTAACAGGAGGCCTCGCCTCACCCCAAACAAGGAGAACAGAAACGTCTTCTCGGCTAAAAATACATATTTAGAAAATCCCCGTGCGCAGGCGGGCGGCGCGTTCCAGCTGCCGGCCTGGCCCCGGGAAGACTTGGCCGCGCGGCCGCCCATTACACCCAGCGCGGCTGGGATGGCTCCGAGCCGTCTGCCCTGACGTCAGCGAAACTCCGGGCCCCGCCGTGGCCAGATAGGCGAGCGCTGCCGGGCGCGGGCGCGGCGCTAATCACTCCCAGATGTCCCTAATAGCGGAGATAAAGACGGACAGAGCGCCCGGGAATAAATTTGTAATCAGGGCTCTACCATCTGATCATCAAAGCGGCACCAATGCCCCGCGAATTAGAAGGGAATGTGTGTGCGGAGGGAGTGGGATCACGGCTGGGGAAGCAGGGGGTAGGTGGGGGGGCGTGGAGGGGAGTCAGTGGCGTCCTCCAAGGGAACCGACTTGGACCGCTTGGAGCGGGGAGAACAGGGAGAGAATCCTATGCCTTCGGTGAGCATGTAAATCAGCTCCCTAGTGCGCTTTAACCTCTCTCAGCCGGGCGGCTGGAAATTACCGAGCTGGTATAGGCTAATAAGATCGGGGCAAAGAGTTCGACGCGCAGGGGAAGCCTCGCGTTCATTCCGCAGCAGCTAGGTAGTCAAACTTAAAGCTGCGTTCGCCCCCTCCCAGCCCCCCGGTGGAATTCGTTTCCTCTCTCAGCAGGGAGGGAGGATGGGGGCGGGGAGGGGAAGGGGAGACCTAAAAGATACTTCATCTGCCCTCTCTCCAGGACTCCTTCCCCAAGACATATCCTCTACAGCAGCAATTCAGAGCCACAGTGAGCTTCTTCTGAAGGTGCTGCGAGGGCCTATGGTGGGCTCCTGGCCCACCAGAAGTGTTCTCTCTGAGGCTCAGCCAAGGAGGCAGTCCTCTGTGCACAGGAGTTTCGTTTTGCGACCCCACTGAGAGCTAGGATCTGAGCATTAGGAGCTGGTCCCTTTGGAGAGGAGTACCCTCCAGTCCACCCTCATTGACAATGAGTCAGTGCTGACTCATAGAGACCCCCTATGGATTTTGGAGACTAACTCTTTAAGGGAGTAGAAAGCCCAGTCTTTATCCCTTGGAGGTACTGGTGGTTTTGAACTATGGACCCCGCAGATCACAGCCCAGCGTATAACCACTCCACCACTCCACTCGGGTCCATGCACAGATCCAGGAAAGATCGTTGGTGTCCAGGGTTTAGATTCAATCCTGTTCTTGACTACAAGCCTGAAGGCCTCTTTCCAGATCAGTCCAGTTGGTACTCTTCAGCCAGCCCGATTTCCAAACCCAGGCTTATGGGTGTAAGAAACTCATAGGCACAGAGATGGAAAGGAGCTTCCTGAATAGTGGAAGAGAAAACCCTAAGCTGGAGTGTTTAACGTTAAGCGCAGGGTTTCCTTAAAACCCTTTCATTGAGCAGTTTTCGGCCTTTTGTAGACCTATAGTGCAAGCGCAGACCTGGCCTTCTTGTGGCATTCTTGGCGGGTTTACTGTCCTCTGCTTGATACCCCAGGCCTTTGCAACTGTACAGGATTCTACCTGGAAAGCAAGGATACTGGAATACACTCCTAGGTCTCTTCTTGCCCCCTCTGGCTTAGCATTTGAACTCAGTCCCTTTCTGAGCTTTATCACCCTTTCCTACGAATTCTGCTTGCACGTATCTTTAAATACTCCCGACTGCTTCCCCGACTGCTTTGCACGTATCTTTAAGTGCTCCCCATTTTTCTGCCAGGTGAAAGATCCGAGCAGGGGCACAGCTCCGGAAGGGTCCAGGCCCACTTCGGACTGGGCCTGCACTTTGGATTCAACACAAACACTTTCCAAGGAAGCCTGAGACTGCTCTCCCGTGGGTGGCGACCTCATGCACTTTCTATTGGAAACTTGCTGGATGCCAGGTCTTTGGAGACCCGAGGAGGGCAGCCTCCACTGGAAAACCTACCCCAGGTGACCCTGCTTTCTGGCTAACCCACCCTGAGGCTTCCCACGGAGCCGGGGTTCAGAAGGCAGCAGAACCCTGAGCTGTCAGGCAATCATCTCAGTTGCTAGACTTGAAAACGCCTTTAATGCTGCTGTCAGTGCCCTCACGTGGGGGCGAAAACCTTGGGAAATTGCAATTAGGAGCAAGTCCCACTCTACAGAATATTCTCAACTCCTTTCCAAAAGTCACTGAGAATGGGTCTGTAGCAAACGCAGACACACACACACACACACACACACACACACACACACACACACACACACACACACACACGAAGCCCCCTCCCCCTCTCCAGCTCCAGGGTTATCAGGCACTCGGCCCACTCGGCGGTCTGGGGCCAGGGCCTTGACAGCCAGATCTACCATCAATTTACCTTCCGCCGCCCTGGCTTCCCATTTAGCTTTTAATGTCAAATCCTACATTTTTGTCGGCTCCGGCCTGTCTAGAGCGCTTGTGATTTCGCTGCAGGAGTGATTGCTCTTAACAAAATGGCAGCAACCACATTATCCGAGCAATTAAAACAGAGGCCTTTTAGCTGGTCCCACAAGGCAGGAGTTCTGCAACAGTTTTTTTTTTTTAAGAGGCAAAGAAGAATGATAGTTAAAAGAGCAATACGTTTGTAGAAGAGGAAAATAGGGAACTCCTCCGAAGAACCCCAGCCATGCACTACAGCTCCTCTCCCCTCTCCACAGAGCACAGATGTAGGGTGGCAGGGAGCATGGGCACAATTGGGACTTCAGGCTGCTGGGTGATGGATAATCCGGGTGTCCTAAACCTGCCCATCGAAGGGCCCACTCAGTTGGAGTGTGCGACAGATTAAAGATCTGGCAACCTGGAATGACTGGGTGTCCTGTAGGCCAAAGTGTTGGGCCTACTAGGTGTGTCCAGCTAGTTGGGCTGTTGAGACGGTTGGGGTAACAGAGCGGAGTGAAGGGGGTGCTCCAGGGGAAGCGGCATGGCAGACGAGGGAGGAGGTATAGCTTGGCTCAGGCCAGACAAAGAGGCCAGATTTTTTTGTAGTATGGATTTAAAAAACATGCGGATTAGCCAGACAGATGAATTCCAGTGCTTTCCTGATTCTTCTCCGTTAGCCTGTAGTAGACCAGAACCAGAGGGTTAAACTAGCCAGACGTGTACTAGGGCCCGATGCGATAAAGGACCAGCCTTACAGGCAGAAGTGCACGCGGAGAACTCCTTTCTAGCTCCTCACTTGAAAACATCACTGCTTCTACCACCGCTTTGGTACCAGACTCCTTTGGCTACCTCCAGGGCTAGTGTCTGTCTACTGAGTTTATAAAAAGTGAAGAAGCAGAAAGCGGCGGGAAGCAGGAGGAGGCGGGAGCCACTCAGTCAAATGGGCAGAGATCCTGAGAGTAACAGAAAATCTGGGCGCGCCTCCTACCTCCACCCCCTACGGCCCCCCCTCCACAGTGCTATAAACAAAGGCAAGTGTCAGTAAACAGTGTCTCGCCCACCGGCAGGCCCAGCGCCTGCTGACCCTAGGGGAGAAAGTTCAGATCGCTTTGGCCGAGTTGTTCTAACCCTTCGCCCTGGCGTTGTCAGCCGCCGGCAGAAGATGCCCGTAGAGTCCCTCGCGTCTCTTTCCCGGGACCTTGGCGAGTTCGCCTGTGCTGGGCCTGGCTCCGTCTGTTTCAGGCGGAGAGCTCTAGGTGGGCACTGGCTAAGTGTGGGAACTCCAGGGAGACTGGGGTGAAGGGTCTGTGCCCGCAGCCGAGGTGTGAACATCAGACCAGAGGTGGGATCCAAGATGGAAGCCCTGTGGGCTTATATAGGTGCTTGTTTCCTGCAAGAAACAGCTTTTGAATATTTTCCACCTTCCTTCCCCTCGCCCCGGAAACCCGTTCGGCTTCCCACACGCTCTGGTGAATCCTTTAAAGACATTTCAATTTCTCCAGTTCCTAGAATAGATTCGGGCTCTAGCCCAGCCCGTGGCCACGGGAGGCCTCCCGGACTTACTTTCGGAATGTGCTGGAGCCAGAGAGACCCAAGCCCTCCCTGGACCAGGTGATGCCCCGGGCGGGCGGCAGCCAGGGGAGGAAGGGTGGGAAGCAGCCGCAGGACGACTCTGGTGCTGGCCTCCACGGGGCTGCAGCCCTTAGACTTCAGACGCCTACAGTTAATATTGAGTTCCCTGTAGCTCCTTGTAAATCTAACTCTACCCTTTAAATCTGTGGTCTTGTTCGCGATTGCTTACTTGACGTCAAATTCCCAGTTACCTAATCATAGACTTTTCCCCGAAAGCCCTCCCCCACCAACCCAAGTCCCAGAGTTTGCTCAGAGGAGGATCCTCTTGGTAGAATACAGGGAAACACCTTCTGTTTTCTTTGGACGTTCCCTAGAAGGAAAGTCCTATCATTAGAATGAAACACATCAGAGAGTGACCATCGTCGAGCTAGTGCCCGGGACCCTTCTCACACCTCCTCCACTGGAAACATAAACCTCAAACAAAAACCGAAGCCAACATGGAGAAGGGCCTCTGTTGGATTTCAGGAAAACATGGGTCCCCTAGAATTCCACCTCTTAGCAAACTGCCTAGGCCACTTGTCAGGCCCAGAACCTTCTCCTAGAGAAGGCTAGGTGTTCTCCTGGGTTAGTGTACTTGGGGGCAGGAGAGGGAAGGAGACACCACAGGGATAAAGCTCAGACCCTGTGGAAGAATTTTCACCAAGGTAATTTTTTCCTTAAGAACCCTTTCTGGGCCTGCTTGTACCGGCATCACATTTAGGACTGGTCGCAACCATTGACTTTCTTAAATAAAAGTAGAGGCAATCATGATAATTTAGTTTACTTTTGAATATTTTAAATAGTATGAAAACAAATATAACAGCTTTGTTTTCAAAAACTCTTTTGAGGTATCAACCATTAAAAGATTGGGGGTTTTGTAAAAAAAAACACACAGTGGTTTATTGAATACTTACAATGTTTACACCTTCCATATTAATTAAATTTCACTTATTTTTAGAGGACGGAAGTGCACAAAACAAGTAGCTGCTGGAAACATCTTCCCATAAGAAGGAACCACAGATGAAACGACAGCACTAGAACTGACCCCAACAAATGTTAGCGGCCCCATTTTCTGCTTTGAAATAAAACTTTGTAATCCCTAGGAATATTTATATCCAATGGCCCAAAAGATACACTTCACATAGGCACTATTGTCCGCTGTCTAGCTGGAAAGGGTTGGGCAGCTGGGACTGGGGCAACGCTGATGTCTACCCAGCCCGGGAAAACATTCACACACAGAATCTACAAGACGGATGATGGGATCCCTTACCACACGGGAGTGTCCTCTTCATATTAAAATATGGAATGCTTTTCTTCAAATATCCACTTTTTTTTGGAGGGGGTGGTGGGGAGCGGATTCCTCAAAGGGGGCAAAGAGAGGGGAGGGAAATTGCACATAAATAAACCGGATGAATCCAAATGCAAGAAGTCCGCAGAGCGCAGCGTGGAGGGGTTGGCCGGAGTCCTGGGTCGGTATCCGGCCCCTCGCGCTCTCTTCCTCCTCCTCCTCCTCTCCCTCCTCCTCACTGCTTGAGCTCCAGGGCCCAGACGTGCTGCGGCCAACCCGTCCGGCCTTTGGTTTTCTTGTCGTTGCTGCTCACTGTGCTTTTCAAGATTTCGTTCTGGGCAGAGGGGAGACGAGGGGGAGGGGAGTAGAAAGAGAAATTCAGAGAGGGTACCCGGTGCTATGTTATGCCCGCTACCCAAGCGCTTCCAAAGCCTGAAGGGGGCGGGGGTGGGGTGGGTAGGAAGACTGGGAGTGTGTGTGAGCATTGGTGTGGGGGTTGGTCCAGGTCCCACGTTGTGCCACAAAAGCTAGGAGGGTTTGCGGTTCCCTAGCTACAGTCAAGGATTCCCCACGCTCCACAAGGCTCAGCTACCGGCCCAGCACGTTTCTAAACAACTGGCCGTTTCAACTTCTTTACGGAGAAGCTGGGAGTCTCCTCTTTGACTGGGGCATCATCAGAGCTGGGGCTACAAGGAGTGTCCTCGTTTCCCATCACAATCTCTGCTACTTGCTCTAGGAAAGATGAAGCCCAGGCCCCTCCACCAGGGCCTGGGCCTCACCATGGGCACTCAGTCCCCTCCTCAATAGTGCCTCTCCCCCAAGGTCTCTAACATTCCTGCTAATTTGGGAGTTCCCTCCATTAAGTAGCAACCTAAGGACTGCAAGCCCCAAAGAAGAAAAACTCTCAACAAATAAAATTATTCCATGACCTTCGGTGCACCAGTCTTGTCTTGAAAGCTGAACACATATGGGCACTTAGTACTGTTACCAAGAGTAACAATGACCAGAGTAATATTTACTCTTTTAAAAATGCTAGTAAAATGTACAGAAATACCAGAGGACAAAATCTGGAAAACAGCACTTAACTTCATTGCGAAAGAGACACTGGAGCTGCACTTTTTTACCTTTGCTTCTTGGGGACACAGGAGACCAACTCGAAAACTCTCTTACGGTTCAGAATCAGGGGAATATGATCAACAGTGAAACAAATGCAAACTAGCGTTCCTGGGCGATTGATTTTTTTAGAAATATCTGAAAGCAAGATCAGATTGCAGGCCGAATGAAGGTTCTAAAGGGCACTGAGTGAAAGGCCCAGGCCAGAGCCATGGGAAGATGAAGGACCACTCTAAGCAACTGAGTGAGGAGGGACAGCAGTAATTCGGAAGGCAGAGCACTTCTTTCTTTTCCTTGTCCCTAGCCTCCTCTTGACTGCCGTCCCCCTCTTCCCCATCTCCTCCACCTCCGCCACACACCATCTCTACAACCTGGTGCAAACAACCTTGGCTCCACTGGAGGCCCAAGAACATGGTATGCTACTGCCCAGCCCAATTGGAAAGGGGCCTGGAGGGCCAGTCCCTGCACCCCCAGAGCACTCCCTTTACAGTCCCCCATCGCCCCGAGAGTACTGACCAGCTCCTTCTTCCTCTTCTCCTCCTTCACGTCTGTCTTCTTGATCTCTGCCTTGAAGGCCTCCGCCTCGCCGTTTTGGTCGTCCTTGGCCAGTAGGTCCATGAGGTAGGCGATGTAGCTGGTGGCCAGCCGCAGCGTCTTGATCTTGGAGAGTTTCGTGTCGGCGGGTACGTTGGGGATGCACTCGCGCAGTTCGGCGAAGGCGCTGTTGATGCTCTGAGTCCTGCGCCTCTCCTTGCGGTTGGCGGTGCCCCGGCGCTTCACCGGGCGCGGCCCCCCCAGGCCCGGGGGCCCTGCGCCCGGCGGCACTCCCCCGTAATGGGAGTGGTCCAGGCCCGCGGCGCCGCTGGCATACTCCGGGCTGTA